AGTCCCTTCCCTGTATTATATTAGTGAAGAATGTAAGTAATCCAGCATGTCTTACAGATATCTTTCCCATTCTTTTAAGAAAAAAAAATGTACTACTGTGAGAAACAGGGAGAAACAGATGCTTTTGGCCAAAGCTCTTATCTGGTGACTAAGCAGACTGCAGCCTGATGCGCCTCAATTTGAACAGCCACATTCTGCCGAGCCCTTTGCACATAATTATCAACAGAGCTTCCATTTTTCTTTAGTGCAGTAGTCACAGAAATCACGTCTGCTTGGCATTATCCGCCATATATTAGTTGTAATCGCACCACATTTTTGTTTATATCCACAAGTAATAAAAAACACGCGGATCTTCAGTTTGACTGCAGGAATAAAATCAATACATAATTCTGGCAAATTGCTTGGAATTATAGTTTAACGGCATCTGGTTCGTATATTCTGTAGTAAATTGTTGGCACCAATGTTGCTGCTTTTTTATTATTATTATTATTATTCGAACCAAAATGTTCTCAGAAACATGTGTTTCTCGTCCAACTTCCATGTAATCCATTTTACGAAGTCCACAAAGCTTGCAGAGTTTGAAACTTAACCTACCTGGGCAGCAGGGGCTGTTTCTGGACACTCATTACACAGCTGATTAACCAAGGAATAAACAATGCTGGCATGCAACCCAGCTCGTCTGTTGTTTTGGCTTTTTGTCTCAAGGAGTTGTCTTTCTCGAAATACCTCCCCAGGTACAATGTGTACATTCCACCCTGTTTTGCTCACAAATTACATACCTCTCTTTTATGTCAAGTCCAATATAGCTACACCAGGTTTTCTCATTCCACATAAAAAGTAACCAATTACTTGAGTAAATACCTGCTTTAAAAATATCGCAGAGTGGTTTCCTGCTGCTCTAAATACTAAAACATTCGGCAGGATTTCTAACCCTTATAAATCTTTCAAATAGTCCATACTTTATCAGAGAAGCCAAACCATCTTGAAACCTGGTGCGTAACTCGTTGGGACCATTTCTCGAACGCTTGGTTTTTACATAATCAGGAAAACAAGTCGGTGTCATTTGTAACATAATTAGCTCTTGACTCTTCTTGTATTTCATTTTCTGTGGCTTCATTGTCAACTTCTGCTCATTCATCATAAAAAACTACAGTGACAGAGATTAAAAAATACTGAATCGATGATAAATGGAGGAAAAGTGGCTTAAAAACTAGCCCTTTGAAGCTTCCCACCAGGCCCACATATGGCCCACCAGGCCCACTGGAGAAGCCTAACAGGTTCTCCAGTGTCAAATCCCATTTCAGTCACCGTCAGCAGCTTTATTCGCACCATCCAAGAACCAACTTGTGAGAATTAAACCAACCTTCCCAGCACAGGTCCCACACTGGGAGGAACGAGGTCCAAGAGGCAGCTCCTCCGCTCTCCGACCACTTTCCCAGCGATGCTCTGCAGCTCTGGGCTGGTTCGTAATGATGTGTCATTTGCAAGTCAGCACCTTGCACTAAGCCCCGAGGTGGGGAAATTACCCAGGAGAAGAGGCAACACTAAATTCCCCCGTCTTGCTTCTTTTCTCAAGTCTGATGAAATACACTGCGCTGCTTGGGCTGCGCGGCACGGCTTGTTGTACCTCTGCTGCAAAATGCTTTTAGTCACCGATAAACTCCCAGAACCCAGACCTCGGCACACCTTCCCCACAGCATCCTCTGCCCTTTTCAAGTCGCCGGCTTCTCCCCATGTGCATCTTGCACAGCATTTTTCAGCCTTCACCAGCATGAGAAGGCCTTGCAGGGACGCAGCCCTGATAATAATCATGAAAGCACCTCTTCTCCCTACAAACCCCAAACAATTAAATGCTTCCCATTTAAAGGCAGTTGCAAAACGCTCATGCTTGATCATGTTTTGATCAAAGCACGAAATGCTGTTATAAAGTAACACCTATGTGCATTAGTCAAAGGGAGCTCAAAAGTGCACTTCCCAAAGCCAACAAGCTGCTGGAATGAGCCGCAAGCCCCTCTGACGTCCCTCCTCACACAGCACCCAATGCATCAGAGCCGGACCCCATCCCACTGCCAGACGTGGGCTCCCTGCTGCCTGAGCACATCCGCAGCTCGGAGGCATCCCAAGGCGGCTGGAAACCAGCCCTGAAATGGCTGGAATTGATAAATGCTCTATAAAATCACCTGGCACTCATGCTGGCAGCCAGAGAACGAGTAACACTGTTCTTCAGAAGATGCCAAAATTGCTAGAGCATGAATTGTGTGTCGTGAGCATTTTTTCTGACAGCTCATGGTTTTACGATGCACTCACTGCACCCTGCCTTGCTCGGGAAGGGAATGGATCCTATGATCCCAGAGCACCCTGAAAAGGGGAGAGAAAAGGGAGAAAATCCCATCACTGCCCACAGCACTGCAGAGCAGAAGGCACAGGGAATCGTGCTGCTCGCTGTCAGCTCTCTCCACCAAACAGTGACACGAGGGGGTGCTGTGATAGGCACAGGTTTGGTAAGGAGGAGAAACGTGAAAATAACCTTGGAGGGAGCAATCGATGCAATGTGGGCTGATGCAGTGTGACTCTGTGTGGTTCAAAGGATGCTGTGAACATGGAGGAGCTCAGAGGGAGGGAGTGGGATCTGGGATGGAGGAGGTGTGGAATTCCTTTGAGTCAAAAGGGGCAAAACTCATCCAAAAATTGTAAGTTTAACAAGGGGCAGAGGAGTCTGTGAAGGATGGCCGCAGGAGAGCATCTAACCTGAAGCAGTGGAGAGATGACAGAAAGAAGTACCATTTGTGAGGCAAGGAAATAAAAATCATTTTAAAAATGTTTCCTGCATATACAATACAACTTGCTGGTTGGAAACATTTGTTGTTTCCTCTCCTGCTGCACCTTAAGCTTTCCTGTCTGTTTCCATCCAAGCTGCTCTGAGCTAACTCAGCCACTGGTTTTCCAGCACTGGAGATGAGAACTGCTAAGGGCAGGTGGTTAAACCCAGCAAAGGCAGTTAAACAGCAAAATTCTTCAGCAGAACAAGTAGAAGGAGGACAAGGGCAGAAGGAGGGCCAGCGGGCACCAGAGCGAGGTAAAAATGAAGCAAACAAACAAACATGCACAAGGAATCCTCTCTTCCACTGTCAAAAGGGCATGGGGGCTTTGCAGCCATCCACACAGCACAGTGAGCTCAGGGAGAAGCTGCATGCTGAGTTTTCAAGGCAGCAGCGCATTGATAACAGGGAATTTCCATATGAGCTTGGCACAGCTTAAGGATTTGGGTTTTAAAATGATGTTCAGCAGTCAAACCCTACCGAACAATAAGCAAAACCTGCATAGCTCAGACCCAGTGAGCAAAGCTCCAGCCTGGGACAGGAGGGAAGACCCAGGCGAGCGGAGCTGAGGGTGTTGGGGGCAGCAGGGAGAGAGCTGGGAGATGGAGCGCCTGTGCTGCAGCGGAGCCATGGTCCTGCAGCGCGGCGTCACGTCCCACCGAGGAGACCCCTGCTCGGGGAGGTGTGAGTGGATTTCCTCAAGTGCATTCTGACAGCTGTGGGGAAGGCAGCAGCAGCAGCTGGAGACATTCCTGGCTGTGTCCCCTCCTCCCCCCATCTCCCCACCCTCAGCGGGACCCCCAGCCCAGTGCGCCCCGTGCAGCACCGGGGGCTGATGAAACATCTGATGTGCATTACAGCAGGGCGAGGGGAGCGAGCGGCCCTGTCCGTGCCAGCACAGCACTTCCCATCACCTGCTGTACATTTCCCTTCCAACGCCACCCCC